CCGGAGAAGCCACGTAGAGACCCCTGCCAGCGCTGAGATGCTTACAACACCACTGGATCCAAAGACTTTCTACCCACTGGCCTGTGATTGTCCTGCATTCTGCCTCATTGCATGTGTTTCGTGAGTCTGAAGACGACTTTATGGATTGCTGTCAGACATATGGGCTAATGTCAAACTTACAGACTTGATCTGGACTGAGCTGGGATGTTTTCTCAATGTTCAATTGCTCTTGTATATAAACCTCTCCCTTATACACATATGTGTGTCCGTAGATTTGTTTCTCTCGTCTACCCAGACTCACACAACGACCTACTGGAAAGCGACTCTAATTCCACCAGAGTCATAACATTCAGCTGCTTAGTGTTCAGGAAAGCAATATGGACCATCTTTGCAGGATACTCATAAATTGATCCCACACCGAGGAGTCCATTAAACCTTTGGAAATAAAATGCACAGACTTACTTCGAGAACAGAATATCATTTATTTGTTGATCAAAACTTTCAGGAAAATGATAGAGGTTAAAAGAATAGGAAAAGAATTGGCAGAAACACAAAGAAGTGTCTGCATATGAAAGTTTGTTCAAAGTTTCATCAAGATACTGATTAAGTTTTTGTTTCCATGCTGCCTTCGGATTTTTCTATTTCCAGATATATGAGGGAGTTTCATAGTTAGAGATTCTTTCCCAAGAAAAGCACGGCAATCATCGAGAAGAGTAAGAAAACAAGGCGTAAGAACATTATGGTCGCAACATGCATTGCTGAGGCCTTTACCTCTGGAAGTAGCCGTGGGCCTGCAGGCCCACTGTCGATGCTCCCTCCATAGCCTTCTTCCTCACAGAACGGAGGGGCCCAGCCGTACATGCAGTGGCAGTTCCTTTGATTGTTGCAGACGCCTCGGCGGTTGCACTTCTCAGACGAACAGTCATATTTCATAATCAGATCACTCACACAGGTTCTGTTCGCACATATCTGGTTCTGGCCACAGCTGGTGCCATCATTTATCTCACCCAGGTCAGGGATCCCCAGGGGTCTCATTGCTAGATGGTAGCCTATGCCCCAACACACAAGATTTTCCTTCTTCAGATGAGTGATAATTATTAAACTATGATCTGGCATATCAGGGACTAATTTGACATTTATACACTGTATTCGGCCACATAATGCATTTTTGATCTCACACTTCTTGTATATTCTAACTTTCTCAATTTCACAATTACCAAATTGGTCACCCTCCGAATTCGCTGCTTGGTAGCACTGAATAGGAGCGTCCCTAGCATCAGGTCCAAAAATTCGTTGGCACTGCATAAGCCTGGATCGACACCCCTTCCTAAAACAATAGGCTTTGTACTTGCAAGGGGTTCCATCCTGTTTATAAGTGTCCCTTGGGCATAAATGTGAGGTCCCATCGCAATACTCTGCAAGGTCACATTCATTTTCTTGATACCTACATATATATCCAGATGGACGTAATTGGCACTCATGACAGCAAAGACCAATGCTGCAGTTGGCACCAGGTGTCAACTTACAATCTGGTTGACAACACTTGTCTGTGTCACATTCCTCTTTTGTGCCACAATCACATTCCTCATCCCCTTCCACAATTTTGTTTCCACAGGTTTCCAGCACATAACCTACTAGGGGGATATCGGTTAGACAAGACAATCCTAAACTTAAGGCAAAAAAAAAATGGGCTTTACTACAGTTACTCCACCCATTACGCCCATTGTTCATGAAGCAAGTCGTTCTGCCATTACAATGACAGTATCCACTATCATCTATTATTCCCATAGCATGGCCTAGTTCATAAGTGGTCCGAGTGGCAGGTCCAAGAATATTCTGGCCTGGAAATGAAACTACTGATCCAGAATACGGAGTACATGTTTTTCCATAGTGCCCTGGAGAATCACGCAAATAACTGTTGAGTACAAATAGATGTGCCCAATCAGTTTTAATCCGTTGGTAAAGGAAAGTGTTTCTATAATGTGCAAGTTCAGAAACAACCTCAAGTATACCTTCACTGTCAGTCTTTATTTTGTCATCATCCGTCCATATTTCAATAGCTTGTAGGCTTATCCTCACAATGAGTTCCTGAAAATGGGTGTCCAAAATCCCAGTGAGAAGAAGGGCATCGCTTATAATCTGAGAAGCATTGGACTTCACAAACAAGTATCGATCGCGATTAAACAGCAGTAACAATTCCATGTACCTTGGGTGCTCATAGAATCCAGTAAACGGTCTGACCCGAGCCATGTGCTCCTGCTGGGGCATCTGCCGCTCGATGTCGTCATCAGTTAAGCCACAGGTCCAATTGCTCAAGTACTCCTTATTCAGGAGATACACGACATGTTCAAACGTAGACGAGTCCTTGAGGGGCTCCACTTGGTAGAGGTCCTCTTCGATTTTCACTATGCCTCGGAGC